TTTCTCGGGAGTTATTGAAATATTTATTTTATTTTTTACTAGCGACTCGTACCTAGTAACGTTTATTTTTAAATAAATAAAAGTAGCCTATGTGTAAAATTAGTTATCATCCAGTGAAAGTCCCGTCAAAATCAGTCCAGCCGTTTCAGAAATTATCCGGAACAAACAGACAGAGAGACAAAAATTAAAGATAATGTGTTTTTCTTTTAAGTACCATAAATAATTTCATATGCATTGAGTAAAACGCTGTTATTTTGACATTACAAACAGACACTTCAATTTTATTTATCTGTATGTATAGATGTACCTATAGAAGCAACAAAGTGCGGTAGCACAGAAATACTTATATTTCTAAACTACCGCACTTTGTTGCTTTGTATGTAGGTATCTTGCATCTCTAGATTTTATAGAACAAAATAGTTATAACAGACCGAAATCTGTATATGATATATTTTTCAAAAACAATAAAGAATTTCCAAAAAATAAATAATGTACAGATTAGGCTTAGTTACAATTTTATTATATGTATAGATTCAAAACGTACCTAGGGACGCATCCGAGCGAAGCGAGGGTAAGTGCCTAGTTTTAGTAATACAATAAAAATCTCATTGTGGATGACCTCGGGTATGTTGATCAAAAAAGAAAAGAAAATTCGGCCACGGTAAATCATCATTCATATCGAATTCGCTATTCATGCAGTTATGTATACAGTACTTGAGCGACCGAGCTTCTCTAGGCGTAGGCGCTCTTTCAATAGGTTTATGAAATAGCACTTTATGACATTGTCAGCATGATAGCAGATAGAAAAAGGCTCTAATAATTATATATAATTTTTTTGAAAAATTATCTATTATATAGATAAACTCAAAAAGCAAAAACTTATTAAATACAAAATTTGACCCAAATCGTTCGAGCCGTTTTCGAAATACACGAATTTTTATAGTATACATATATTATGTAGATTGTACATACTCGTATGTAATAATAATAATAATGAACACTTTATTGCACACCACACAAGAAAATAAATAAAGAAGTGAAATACATAACAATAAAAAGATGCACAGCAGGCGGCCTTATCGCTAAAAGCGATCTCTTCCAGGCAACCTTAGGGTAGAGGAATCAGTATATAAAAATGGTAGGCGGTGTACTTGTATAAATACATACTTATACACATACATATATACATACATACATACATAAATACATACATACATACATACATACTTACATACATAAATACATACACAAATACATACATACAAACATATATGCATACAAGCAGTATAATAGAAAAATATAATCAGTACTTAAGTTTAACGTATTTCAAATAAATACATATAAGATACATACAATATCAAATATATTGTACATAATATATTATAATAAGACCAACTAAAGAGATAAATAATGCGTTTTTAACATCATCTTAAACTTGTCCAAATTATCAGCCCGTCTGATGTGTACTGGTAAAGAGTTCCATAGACGTGCAGCTTTCACAGAAAAGGAGTTGGTAAGAAAACAAGAGGAGTGAGAAGGAATTTTGAGGATAAGCGTTTCACTAGAACGCAGGGAACGAGTATGAGAATTCCTTAGAAGCTCGAAACGCTCTTTGAGATAGGAAGGGGTAGAAGGATTAAACAGCACGCAGTAGAGGAGATGAAGTATGTGAGTATTCCTGCGAAAGCGGATTGGGAGCCACTTGAGTTTTTTGCGAAAGTGAGAAACGTGGTCATATTTACGGAGACCGAATATGAACCGTATGCAAAGATTTTGAAGGCGCTCAAGTCGATTCAGGTGCTCCTCTTTAAGGTCAAGAAAACAAATATCAGCATAATCAAGTATTGGTAATAAAAGTGAATTTGCCAGCGCAATTTTAGTAGGTACAGGCAGAAAATTTCTCAACCTGCGAAGGGAGGAAACAGCTCCAAACATCTTGCGGCTCAGTACACTTACCTGGGGCCCCCAGGATAAATGCTGGTCAAAAATGATTCCTAGGTTTTTTACTGTTTCGGTAAAAGGAATTTCAACATCGTTTAACATCACCGATGGTATCAATGACCGAGTAATTTTAGAATGCAGTTTCTGGCTGCCTATTATAATAGCTTGCGATTTAATAGGGTTAATATCAAGGCCATATGATTTACTCCAAGCAGAGATTCTGGCAAGATCATTATTAATTAAATTAACTGTATGAGGTAAGTCTGATAGAGATGTGGTTGCGTAAATTTGTAGGTCGTCGGCATATAGGTGGTAGAGAGAAGAAATTTGATGGCAAATAGAATTAATGAAAATTGAAAACAGGAGAGGAGACAACACGCCACCTTGTGGGACACCGGCATTAATCGTATTCCAATCAGAAAAGGAATCCTCAATTCGTATACGCTGCCGGCGGCCACACAAGTAACTACGAAACCAGTCAATCACCTCAGGAGATATGTTAAGAGAAGTTAATATGGCAATTAGTATATCAAAATCAACAGTGTTAAAGGCATTACTGAAGTCTAATAGTACCATCACGGTAACCTTCTGACTGTCCATACCCTCTCTAATATCATCAGCGATTTTGACCAATGCAGTAGTCGTACTATGACCGATGCGGAAACCGGATTGAAAGGAGTTTAAAAGATTATGATTAAAAAGAAACGTGCTTAACTGTCGATGCACAAGACGCTCCAGTACTTTCGATAGGAAAGGGAGAATGGATATAGGACGGTAGTCAGCAAAAGAAGATGGATTAGACTTTTTTGGAATGGGAATTACTTGACCATCTTTCCAGGCAGTAGGAAACTTATGGGAAAGTAAGGAGGAATTTAAAATTGATGTAATTGTAGGAGCTATTAAGTCAAGAACAGGAACAATCATTTTACGACTAATGCTGTCCGCGCCCACCGCGTTAGATTTTATAGTTAAAATATTTCTCTTAACATCACTAATGGAAAATTGACTAAATGAAAAATATGGAATATCAGGAGTAGGTAAAAGTGAAAGTTGATTAATTGTATTTAATTTGTTTGTACTATCTATAGTACCAGAAAGTGAGAAATGCTGATTTAACAAATTTAAGTCGATATTAAGGGGATTGATACACTGTTGTGCCTTTCCTACTCCAATAGATTTAAGAAAATTCCAGATTTTTTCTGAATCATCTTCGTCGATTACAGATTTATGGATATGGCGTCGTTGACTATCTCTACACACCATATTGCAACGATTACGGGCCTTGATGTATTTCCTTTTATTGTTATCACTAGGATTTGCTGCAAACTTCGATTTAGCCATGTACTTTTTCACCTGCAGTTTTTTAATCTCTGGGGTAAGCCAAGGAGCCGGGAGATGCTTCATTCGGACAGGTCGAACAGGAGCATGAATATCGTAAAGTCCAGTTAAAAGTGACGTGAATATGGACAATTGTTCATCAATGGTCTTTGCTTTTAAAACAACCGACCAGTCAATCCGTTCAGCGTCTTCTCGTAGGCGTTCTACATCCATACTAGCAAAATTGCGTTGCAGAAGAACTCTTGATTTTGCTTTTGGCGGCTTTAGTTTATAAGATAGGTAGAGAAGGTCATGATACGAAAACTCTGGAGCAGAGCACTGACCGTGTTTAATTACGTGGTCAGTGGAAGAAACGATAATTAGGTCAAGGAGCGAGGGACAGCAATTTGGAAACTTATGAGTAGGACGTAATGGAAGTCTATTTAAATTGGCTCCATCTACTACATCACGAAGGCGGCTTGCCCGGTTGTCATTCTTTAAGAGACACGTATTAAAATCTCCCATCAACAGAGTATGGTCGTAAAGAGGTCTATACTTGTCTAACAGGATTTCAAATGAAGAGAAATAATCAATTGTTAAACTAGGGTTGTAGTACACACCCAGGAGTATTTTAGCATTTGAGAAAATAATTTCAATAAACATGTGTTCAGCCTCTGCGTTGCCGTGTGATTGAGACAAGTCAATTATGGAAAAGGGAATATGGGAACGCAGATATATGGCTACACCACCACCACATCTTCCAATACGATCATTTCTAATCAAATGAAATCCTGGGAGTCCGTAAGAAGTTGACGGTAGACACGGCTTAAGCCACGATTCGGAAACTAGGATAGCGTGAATATTTTTATTGTCAAAACTAGATAACATATCAGGATAGTGTGCTGGAATACTCTGTGCATTAATATGAATTAAGTTAAAAGTTTTCAGAGCATCTGAGAAATGCGAATCAAGTGTATCATTAAGGGCGGGGATACTACAAAAGCTGTCATTGCTGCTGGGACTTTCAGAGTTAGAGGAAAGTGATAGAAAAGAATCGTTCAAGCTATTATCTCCATACATTATGTGTGCAAAATAAAGTAATAATAGACTGTAAATATATTATAAAATATAAATAAATAAATACGTACAAACAAATATATAAAATACACAAAAAAAAAAACTAAAGAAAAAAAAATACAATAAAATAAAAAATATTAATAAAGATATATTTTTTAATATTTATATATAAAAAGATAATACTAAAATTTGTATATAATAATATGTAAAAAGATATGTAATGTAATAATGCGTAAGTATACTTTTTAAACCTACTTACCCACCAGTTGCAAGAGAAGAAGGAAAATAACTTCATAAACAAAAGTTCGAACACAACACAGGAAGATAATGCAATCCACAAATAAATAATAAATCTAAAAGCAAAATATTAAATTAATTAAAAGTAACATTAAACAACGAATTAAACAAGTGTAACATTAAATATGAAAGTAAACAAATTATGCAACCATAGACACTAATTACATAGACAATACAAACAGTACAGAGGTTGGTTGTCTATTGACAATTTATGTTTTAATCTTTGAAATCCAGTAATGACAACCTAATCATAACAAAAAATAAACAAACAAGAAACATAATATGAAATAAAGAACTGAACTGTTTTGAATATTAAAAGGAATAACAATAACTTTTTGCATAGAAAATAGAAAAAGTAACACAAATTATTTTTTTACTACACGTTTAACGCGTGAAACTATCACTTTATCCGTATTCTTACTTGCAACTGGAATTTGCGTCGGAGATTTAGTCTGATTGGAAGAAATTGAGTTGAGATCCAGTTTGCATTCTGCACGATGCCGAGAACCATCAGAAGCAATTATATGGATATACCCATTGCGTGTCCAGCACTTGCCAATACCAAAGCGTTGCCGAGCCTCCAAGAAGGTGTTATGTCTGCTCTTTGTAAGGAACTCGGACTGTGTGATGCCTGTCCCTTTAAGTTTGGTTTTGCTAAACCATACCTTATTACGCACTGCAGTATCGGAAAACTTTACGACAATCGGTCTAGGTTTATCAGAGGAACGACCCAAGCGGTAGGTCTGCTTAATACTTGCAGAAGAAAAATTTGACAAGTCCAGGTGTTCAGCGACTAAACCAGTAATCTTTGCTGTTGTGTCCTCGACCTTCTGTTCCGGCACTCCATGAAATAATATCATTTTATGCCGCCTTCGCATTTCTTGCCGGTCAATTTCTAATGCTAGACATTCAACCTGGCGTTGTAAGGTATTCAGCGCAGAGAGAATAAAACTTCTAAAGGTACTGAATTCCACTGGTAAAGAATGATTTGTGTCAGGTGATGAGGTCTTATTTAAGTCTTGCTGGAAATCGTTCATCCTCGCATTGAACATATCAGTGAGTGCAGATAGTGATTCCTTAATGGACTCCATTGTAATATGTAGTGAAGAAAACAGTGAAAATAAATAAAGGATAACTCTTGCAGGTAGTAGGCCTAACTTACAAACACATATTAAGTTGTAGAAACGATTGAAAAATACTTTATAATAATATAAATAAAAAACAGCTGTTAAAAATCGTGTGTCGTCTTTCACTCCTACCCTCGAAAAAAAAAGTATGTACATATATAGAAAAATTGTTCATTTAATATTATAAGATTTATGTTCTTACTTTTTTAATGAAACTCTTTAATTTCAATATTCATTAGTAATATTAGGTTCCTTTAGAATTTTCCTTTTAAATGTTACAAGAAGGCTTAACTACTACTTAAAATAACGCCAAAGTTTGTATGAGAATTCAGTTTATTAAATGCGGAGAGAAAAATTAAATTGTAGAACGTTTTACAAATAGAAGTAGAAATATTTAAGGTCTTTGTCTAATAATTTGTATATAACCTTTGTATGTACATAAACTGAGCTATAACGGTTTATGTCGAGGAAGTAATAAAAACAATCATTCGAGCGAGCGGGTTCTGCGTAGACGTTATAACATTGTGTTAAAATTTCTGTTTTAAATAAAGATATATTTACAAACAGTAGTGTATTTACGGCATTGTTCGTACCTAACAAATCGAGTGTAAGTTGCTAGTAATCAAAATAAAAAAAGTATGTATTTTAAATAAAACTATCTTTTCGAATTTTTTCGCGTTTTTATTTTTCAATCATGGTAATCATGGTCACGGGAGAGACTTGTCTCTTCCGTGGCCATGATTGCTGTAAAGCATTCGAAATGTCGGGAACCAAAAATCAAAATAAATTCGCGAAATAATCCGAAAAGATAGTTTTATTTAAAATGCCAAGTATTCCCGCAAATCTAAGAAAGTATTAAGTATGTATTTGTGTGTATAATCTATGGCCTGGAAGGCATGGCTTATTGTTATTTGGCATGGATATTGTTAGTTATAGTTGCTCAATTACTGATTCTTGTTAATTATAGTATCACAGTTGATTATTATTTATACTTAATTATTTAATCATATTATTGATTCTTGATATTTTGTTAGTTAAAATTTTATATTTTATGATGTTAATATACATATATATGAGTTTGTTATATTTTAAATATTAATATTTAAAAAGTAATGTCATCCATCGTGGGGTAATGTGTAATCTGTAGAAGATAGATGGCGCCACCTTACACACTAGTATACTGTATAGTATTATAATTATGATCTGTGCCCACCTTGGGATGTTTAAATATTGTGATAGTCATTTTGTAGGGCATTCTGTAGAATTAATTAAATAAAGAAGAAATTGCTGAAGCTCAGTATATTAACTCGGAAAATTATTAATAACAGTATAAAACATTCTCAATAGAAAAGGGATCTAGGGACGGAAACATACGAGCGAAGTTAGGGTAAGTAGCTAGTAAAAAATCATTTAAGGGGAAATATTATTATTGAAATCCTTATAAAATGATAAATAATACTTTGACAAATTACATCACATCTTAAACATATATAGATATAGTTTTATATATTTGAGGTAGTATAAAGTGCGAATCAGACTCAGTATCATAGTACTTCGGTTTCTAAACAATAATTAATTAATAGAACAATTCAATAATAACAACAATGTAAAGGGGATTGGCTAGCCCACAAGTAGGGTACACCGCGGCGCACTGGTCAAAATCATTGCTGCTATCATCATATCTCATTATTTCTCTAATCTGTTAGTTAAATCAAATCTAAAGGCAAAATTGACACTATTAAAATATTCCATGACTACAGACTATGTCTAAATAATATTTCATTAATATATATAGTAATATGTGACGCCACTATGGCAACAAAGTGAGACTTTGTGACGTTTTACCTTCACCATAGCGGTTTAAGTCTTCTATACATATAATAAAATTGTAACTAAGCCGAATCTGTACATTAGATATTTTTTGGAAAATCTTATTGAAATAAACATTATATAACGATACAGAGGCCGAATCTATAGTTTTTAGAATTTTTGTCTGTCTGTCTGCCTGTCTATCTGTTACCGCATCACACAAAAACCACTGGAGAGATTTTGATGAAATTTGGTATGGTGATAGCTGGTTACCCGGATCAACATATAGGATACTTTTTACCGCGGGAAAATATCTCATTTTTGAGAAAAAAATACAAAAACTGCAATGTAAGAGTATACTAATATGTTAAACCTAAGAATTTGGTTTTTGGTCATCTGAACGCGGGCGGAGCCGCGAACAATGCTAGTTATGAATAAATCCTTACGGAAATCGAACTTGCGTTCCAACCGCAGCGTGTCTAACTTGAAAAATCAAATAAGCTCTAAAATTTAATATTTCTATGTACTTAAATAGAGTGATATTCCAAATAAAAAATTATAACTGCACCTATTGTAATATAAGACTAAAGCAAAAAAAGTGAAAAGAAATATGTTCAAAAGTTTACTTTTTTCATTACTGATTTTATGTGCTAATATTGTAAAGCTTAAGGTATATGTTTGATAGTTTTATTAATTGTTTTTTATATGATTTCGTACACCATCTTTTTAAAAATGTAATACACTCATTTAGTAGTTCTGGTATGTAATAAAATCTGATAAAAACTTTAACATAAAATTTAATACAGAGAGAAAATCTTCTATCATATGTTTGTTGTCTTATATCAGAATTAATTCGACAATTTTTCATTTACTCAGAAAATTAGTGTCAGTAAAGGTGATCAAACACGTTCACAAATCATAGTGACATCAACGTTATTGCAAAGAGCAGAGGAGAAATGTCCGCGACTTAGTAGGTAAGGACCTATTCTCAAGGAATTCTCGTTAGTGATATATGTTACCATTCTTCAGAGCGGTTTCAACGAACTATACTTGATTTGTTCCAACTCTCTTCCTATAGCAGTAAATTTCTATCGACATGAAGTATTACTTGAAATCGTCGATTATTTGCGCGTCTATAGAGAAATAGTTTTATGGCACTGTGAATTTCGGTTTTATGTACCTACTACCTATATTAAAGTTTTGACACCTAATTTTGTTATTGCCGCCATAGATTTTTATTATAAGCTTTATCTGATTTTCAACCGCTTTTTAAATAGAATAGAATCTTACTAATATTATATATGCGAAAGTTTGTGCGGATGTATGGATGTGTGTATGAATATAGCTCATACATTAGAATAACACTTATGCTACTTTTTATCCCGAAAAATTGTACGGTTTATGTGGGATAATTTTATATAACAATATTAGTAGGTATTGATTGTTTTTAATACTTGTTAAAATGTATAACTAGATGTACGCTACGATAAAATCTATACTAATATTATAAAGAGGTAATGTTTGCGAGTTTGTGAAGTTGTAGGGGATAATCTCTGGGTCTCATGAACCGATTTAGATGAAATTTTATAAGAAGATAGTTTGAGACCCTGGGAAGGACATAGGAAGTCGCTAGTTTTCTATGAGACTTTTGGTCCTAATCTACATAGTCTTTTTTTTAAATAAAAATGCTAAAACTACCATTTGAAAATTGTATTTATGTCCAGTATATTAAAGTACATTTTAAAATTGGAGTGCTCATACACTTAATATTTCTCTCTAGTCAAACTTATATTTTTAAGAGACCTTTTAATTAGTTTTTCGTATATTTTACGGAAAAAGGTTTTGGAAAAATAACTTTTTAATATTTATAGAAAGTGGCTGTTTGAATTACAGATTGAAAATAAACCAAGGCAAAATGGTCATAGCATCGGACTCTATAATATTTTCCTAAATGAAGGTTATTTAATCTTCAAATGAGCTCTGGGATAAGCATGATAACTTATTTGAAATAGTGGATTTTCAAGGAAAATTAATTTTTGCTATCAAAATGGTTTGAAACATGAGATGTAAAAGCTCCCACAAGTACGTCGTTGTATCGTCTCAGACAAAACACGTCCAGCAGTGGACGAAACGAATTTCGGGCCATCCCTAGTTTTTACATTTTTACCACATGTGAAATTATGGCACGCACGCACGCACACACACACACACACACACACACACACACACACATAACTAAATTATGGAATAATTAATAATACATTTATGGTCACTATAAATCATTTTTTTTTTAATTTAATAAGAGATAGGTATCTTATATTCTAACTGTGAGCGCTAAACTACATTTCTATGTACCTAAGTTTAAATTAGAATTTAATAGTTTGTGCTCAGAATCATGAATAAAAAAACTTAGTATAAAATCAAATACTTATGTACATTTATCGTGCTAAGATTAATAATAAATATCTCTCTTTGAATTAAAAATATTATTTACCGTATATGAAAGTCAATACCTACTACAAATTGTGTATCTGTTTGAATGCGCTAAACACATTTTAATAGGATTTTCATTTTTTACTATCAGATAAAATTAATGCGAGCAGAACATAATACTTTCTTATCTATACATATAATAAAATTGTAACTAAGCCGAATCTGTACATTAAATATTTTTTGGAAAATCTTATTGAAATAAACATTATTATCGATACATAGGCCGAATCTATAGTTTTTAGAATTTTGTATGTCTGTCTGTCTGTTACCGCATCACAGAAAAACCACTGGAAGGATTATGTAGGTAGGGAGCTGGTTATCCGGGTCAACATATAGGATACTTTTTACCGCGGCAAAATGTCTCATTTCTGAGAAAAAATACAAAAACTGCAAGTAAGAGTATGCTAATATGTAAAACCTAAGAGTTTGGTTTTTGGTCATCTGAACACGGGCGGAGCCGCGGGCAATGCTAGTCTTATTTAAAATTCTTCTTATTTTTAAAAAAATGCGAGCAGAACATTTTTGTTTTTGATATCTGATAAAAATGAAAAGAAGGATTTGTTCGATTATAGTTTCTCTTTTAACGACTTGTATCCCGTCAAAGCTAACATCAGCTACGTTTAAAAAGAGAAAGAAAATGGTTGCAGCGGGATAGTGTCATA